CAGACTTGTAGATCTTTGATAAAGGCGACAAGAATCGCAATCAGACGCGAGCTTATGCGCTCAAACACAAGAAGATGAACTTAGTGAGGTAAGCGGAAATCGAATTTCATTGGTTAATATCAGCTTTTACAACTAGTTGGTTTTTTGAGATAGCACACCACAACATTCAGAAGAAACATCATATCAGACTGTACTTACAGTACTGGGATCCGGAACTTCACCGGCAATAAGTTATACTTTCTGAGTGACATTGTACTCAGATTGTGGTACGATCAGATGAGTTGCAAAACTCAGGCACCTGAATACTAATTCTGTAACTCGTTAAGATGCCGAAGTCAGTAAAAATTTATAGCTTCAAGAGTGACACTTTTTTTGTGTCAATAAAGGTTTGGATGAAGTCCTGGCATTTAGATTATCTCCTATTTTAGATTATTTCACACTGTTCTTTAACACAAAATGACCATTACGTTTTCTTTAAACAAATCCGTATTTGCTCAACCTGAGCTAAACATCGTACAACTATTTTCTTTCATGACGCAACCTATTTTGAGTCTTACCTCTTCACATTTACGTCCATTTGGCGATCATACATATCCATATCGGCATCTAACACGTTCCCGCTAACCAGTATTCCTGCCGAATTCACCTGTAAGATGTCGAAGGAAGTGAAACGCGATTGCAGCCGCACTGGATTATAGTTCAGAAAAAAACAGGTGCGTCTTGTACTCGCGAAAATGGGGTAACTAGTGTCGACAACCCAACTGTCTAAGGGAAACGTGAGCCTAAGTTTGAATCGGAAACCGTACTCTAGTTCCCAAACATCAAAAATGTTATGCGTGGAAAAGCCATGCAGGAATTATGCTCATTTTTCTACCAGAAGAGAGTGAGTTCCACGAATAGAATACGGGCCACACGCTAGGACACGCGCTAATTTGGCCTTAGAAGTGGAAAGAGCACGGTATGTTGGGGCCGTCCAAAAGCTCTGATTCTCACTGATTGCCGTTTTATCCGATACTGGTGAATGCGCGAGTGAAACTTTGTATTAAAATATACTGCTGGATAGTAACCACAAACTAGACTTTTCTCCGGCAACATCAAATCAGTAAAGCGATTTAATGAGTTTACCAGAGTGTCGATGCGCTTGTATTCCTCCATCGTATTGTCCACGAGTTTTTTCGCATTTGTTTCATCGCACAGGTCGCCGACAGTAACAATTACCTAAGATTCGATACTATTATACGATGTCATAAGTTAGTGTGTGAGATTTACCCT